CGAATAAGCTGTCCAGTATTCCAATCCGGTTCTTAAATTGATCGTTTTTTATATATCGAAATGGACGATTCCAGCGTTTATAGTCGAAAAGAATAGTTACACGAGGTTTTTCAAACCATACGAGATCTTTATCTTTTTTATCTAAAAAGATTTCTAACTTCGAATTTTCTCGATTCCCATCTAAATAAAAAGTTTCATAAACAGGTCTATTTTTATAGCATGTCTCTTTAAAGTGAAAATGGAATTCATCCTTTGTTTTTTCCTTTCCATTCACTCGGATCTCTTCCGTTTCGTCGATTTTGTCAGGATTCTCCTTTTCTTCTGAAAAGAGGGAAGAAGAAGGATCTTCTTCGGTGGATCCCTCTTGTTCCTGTTTAGTCCCCTTCGTTTCGGAAGTTGTTTCTATTTCTACATCTGTTTCTTCCCCCTTTCCTCCCTTTCTTCCGTTTCTGAGGTTTCTTAGTAAAAATGGGTGACGGTATTCTGCCTAAAGAGTAGACACAGGTAATAAATAAGAGAATACTAAAGATTCGAGCCATAGAATTTCTCAATTCTGACACAAGGTACTTATTAGATCGAATGTACTTATTCGATCTAAGAGAATTATTTTGCTGTATCCAGACTAATATCAATCCAACCCATTTCATGAATAAAATGTGACCAATTAACCAACCAACAAAACTACTTGTTACAAATAACATCTTGTTGTTGCATCGAAACATATAAATGTTGACTAATCTGACTAACATTGAACTTGGTAAAATGAAATGGTTGAATAATTGAAAAATGAGATTATTCAGGAATACACATTGAATGCTAAGATTACGCATTGAATTTCTGGTAGTAGATCCATAATCAAAAAAGTGTTTGTGATTGTTCCAGAAGAAATGAAACAAAAGATACGGTAGAGCTAGGACAGTTATTGTATGAGGTCTACCCAATGCTAGATGCAGAGGCGCATAATAGATCGATATGAACATCATGAGCTGCCCCGTAATAAAACCTGTTGTTGCTGATACCTTCTTCTCGGTTCCTTCTTCTCTCTTCTATAACCCGAGCTCGGAGAAGGAAGAGATAAGAGGGTCCCATGGAGAATGTGGTCAGAAATCCATAATAGAGTCCGACCACAACGACCGAATTGATTATCTTCATGCATAAGGATACTAGATTACCTAGTATAAAAGATTTCAAAATCATCATATAATAATCCAGCAATAGAAAAGAAAAAATGAGAGGAGAAAAAGAAAGCGTAAAAAAGAAAGAAAAGACTTTTCTCTAATGTTAGAAGGTGCTAAATTAATGGGAGCCGGAGCAGCAACAATTGCCTTAGCGGGAGCAGCTGTCGGTATTGGAAACGTTTTCAGTTCTTTGATTCATTCCGTAGCGCGAAATCCATCATTGGCTAAACAATTATTTGGTTATGCCATTTTGGGATTTGCTCTAACGGAAGCAATCGCCCTCTTTGCTCTAATGATGGCCTTTTTGATCTTATTCGTATTCTAATCTTCACTTCAGTCTTCTCTGAATTGGAAGAAAAAGAAGTGAGTGAAAAAAAGATAGAAAAATGAATATAAAAAATTATTTATTAGAATAGGAAGTGCTAACAAGCGAGAAAAGACACTTGATATATATTACGGCATGGACTACCAGGGTATCTCGCCCTAATGAATCAAGAAAAGGTCTTTCACTCAAGTTATAACCGAGTGTGGGCAGAAAGGGTGTTCCATCACTGGAAATACTGCAACTTAGAAAAGTAGGCTCATTCGTAAAGGATCTTAGCCTACACCGGTTACCGACCTCGTAGGCCTTTTGGGCTGTGGGGTGTATGTATCGATGCCTTTCTTTAAAAGAAGAGCCTCGAAGAGCGGAAAGAAGACCACCGCCTCTTTACCTGTCTACGTTACGGTCGAAAGGGGCACCCTTATGAATGAAACCCTGTTCCGCTCGGAACCCAGGTTGGTACCTTCTTTTGAAGAGCCTTATTCGGCTGAATCAGCAGATTGGAAAGGCGGTGATCCAGCTGCTGTATCGGACAAGGATCGAAAAAGGCTTGCTACTTCGACTAGAGCACATAAATAAGGCCAATTAAGCAACGTTAATGGACCGTATAGCTCCTTCACAGGGCTTCTTTTTAGATCAAATAGGCCTCACTCATAACAGAAGCTAGAGGACATCGTAGGACGGTATTCGTGGACGGATGAGCGATTGGACCGCCTACAGGACAGTTACTGGACAGATGCGACCGTTACCAGTTGACAGATGACAGAGAGAAGAGCGGGAAGTAGCTCTATTTAAAGGAAGGGAATCGTGTACTAATTATAAAGTTGACTCGGTCTTCTAAATCCCTTCGCCCTAAAAGTAAGAAACTGGGGAAGAATTCGTATCCTTAGTAGAACTCACACGGGACTGTCGCCGAGGAAGAAGAGACTTTCTAGAGGAATAAGAGCTAAAGAGAAACAATTCGAAGAAGGGGCATAAGGGTGTATAGGGTATTTTGACCTCTCTATTCTGACTTGATGCCTCTAGAAGACCGGAGATCTGATCGGTCGCTCCCCGCTGCAGGCAGGTAAGTGACACTTTCTCCTTCAGTTCAGTCAGGAGTAGCTCTTGCTCTTTTTGGGCCTTCCAAGAAGATTATGTCTGGCTAAGGCGGGAATACACAAGAGAAAGTCTATAGTCGCATCACAGCTAGTAGTATCGCGATTAGTGTGCGATAGGCTGCTGTTGACTGTCGTATGTCCAAAGAAGCTATTCGCTTTTTTACTATTGCAGCTGTGATTTGCTGCTGTGTATATTCTCGCATCCCTCTTACTACAGAAATTTCCGAGGCATCATTAGCCAATTCGGAATATCTAATAGTCCACCCCGGGTCAACCCTCAGTACATCCCTTCCTGTCAGATTCACTAAGTTGAAAGTAGTTGTATCAGCACATAGAGGAATGGCCCTTTCGAGGAGTCTTGTTACTGGCCCGCTTAGCCCTATGTATCCTCGCAATGCTATTTCTGTATAGTATGCAAATGGTACAATTTTTCGGTGCACAGGATTTCTTTGAATTATTTCATCCATTCTCTGATTTTACTATCTATATAACTTCTAACCCTATGTCTAAGCCATCCCTTTTCCATTGATTCAGTATCTCCCTTGCTTGCCTCCGCTCAAAGGATAGGCTCATGGTATAAGTCGAGTAGCAGAACGAAGAAAGGGAGTGAACTCAAAGCCAGGAAAAAGAGCATTTCGGACAAGGTTCTACCGAAAGACGAAAAGAAGCGTCCTCCCTCCCACTGGGGCAGAGCCCGTAGTGAAGGCTTGCCTAATTCTCTTGGTTGAGTGGACTCTTCGGATAGGCGAAAGGGATGAGGGCTAAGGTCAATCATGAACTAGTGCTAAGATGGAAATCAGTCTTCGCTGCCTCACCCTCTGATATGCTCTTTCCTCTCCTTGCCCAGTTTTAGCATTCGATTTGAATCAAGTGCGGAAAAGAGAAATCCTTTCCCTCAGCATCTCGCAATTCTTTGATAGAGTTTCCTTCGTTCTGAGCCATACGAGATTTGTGTACTAGTACTAGTTCCCACGAAAGCTGCTCGACCGATCAGACTTGACTTTCGACTCGAAGATGCAAGTCAAATAAGTTAGATCGGACGTACTACAATAGGGGCCAGAGATATGACCACCAAAACCAAGCCAGGGAAGCAATAGGACAGGAGTGACGACGTCTATAAAGAAAGAGCTATGCGGAGCTCCCGTTACTAGATGAGAAAGAGATTTGAGATTACAATCCCTGCCTACGTATCGGTCAAGGAAAGAGAATTCCTCTAATGGTGGTTGGAAGCGGGGGAGAAAGCTCGAACTAGCAACTTGTATCCGCCTTTAATTAAGGAGACCGGCTTTCATCTAAGAGAGAATCTATCTTCTTGTTCAATACGCCCAGAAAGTTTGGATTTGTGAGCGGTCGAGCCAATAAAATCAGCCTTTCCGCAGGTCAACCAAATCTCCTTTGTGAACCTCAGCTCCTTATATAAAGAAATAGAACATAAGGATCTTCTCTTCCAGTCGCTTCCTCAGATTCAGGATCCCTCTCTCAGGTTCGTCGATCCTCTCAAGTTTCTTATCTTGTTTAAGTCTTTTTGTCTTATCTTATGTCCCCAAAACATCGAGCTTACCTCATGTCAGTTCAATCTTCTCATGAACCTGAATCATTTGCTGAAGCCTTCAATCATTCTTGCTGGAGAAATGCTATGCAGGAATAAATCAATGCCCAGGAAAAAAAGAATAAGACTTAGTCTCATTGCCTGCAGGGAAACAAGCCATTGGCTGCAAGTGGATTTACCAAGATCAAGCATAAAGCAGATGGCTCGATAGAGAGATACAAAGCTAGATTAGTAGCTAAAGGATTCAGCTACTATGAAAATAATCGCTCTCTGATTGAGCTTGTGATGTGCTTTCTTGTATTATCGGTATTCGTGTGCAGTGTACTAAGGTTAAGGTAGAAGATCTCAATTCCCTTTCCTTCCCCGGGGTTGCCAGTGGTTATAGGTAAGTAAGTGCTTCCATACGTTCTGTTCCCCCTTAGTTTTTATCCAATCCATGTCGAGCCAGGCCAGCTGTAGTTGTAGTTCCACTAGCAAGCAGCGTGATAGGGATAGCAGGTAGGAAGTTAAGCTAGCCAGCTAGTTAGAGATTTCTTTTCATGAGAGGGCTCTATATAAGATATATCTTTATTCCCTTTATAAATCTTTTTCTCTCTGGGCAATCCAGCTAGCAAGGGCTGAATATTCACGTGGAACAATCCTATATTATATTGTGAGCAATCCTGTTCTTGAGAGTGAGCAATCTCTTTAGCAAGCAGAAAGATCTTTCTTGGCTTTACCTGGCTTCTCTCTTTCGCCTTCTCCTGCCTGCCTCTTACTATACTTGAATCCCTAATAGGCTGTTAGCAAGAATGGGTTGTGAAATCCCTGAGGGAGAAAACCGTTAGCAAGTAATCCCTCTCGCCAAGACTAGTTGCCTTTCAGAGCCCTTCTTCTTCACGTGAACAAGCCCTTCTTGCAAAGACCTGATTTGCGGCATCCACATGATTTGCTGCCGGATTCTGTCCATCTGCAGTTCCTTCTCTGTGCTGCTCGTGGGATATCGTAACTATTGATCATGTCTGCTGTCTCTAGCTAATAAGATCTTCCTTCTCATCGAAAGATGCGCATAATACCGTGTTTAAGGGGTAACAAAGGACAAGGACCCATGGAGCGCTAACTAGTAAAGGGACCGGAACAGCCTATTATTGTATTGCAAAGAGGGCATTCTGTAAGACCGTGGTTAATCAGTTCCTGGGCTTACCCATGTGCAAACTGTTAGGAATCGATCTAGATGCTTTGACTAGTGGGATAACTTTAATAGTAAGGGCTATGCGCAATCAACACAAATCGGATTCTCGAACACCGCCTTTCGCACCTAAGACCGTATTCTCGTTAACTCCTGGGCAATCAGGTTAATCCCGAAGAGCTTGCATTCCATGCTTCTGATTCAAGTCCTGAAAACCTTCGTGCTAACATCTTCCGAAAGTGCCACAGTGGATTCTAGAATAGGGGTTATTCCGACAACAAGGGACTAAGGCGAACCAACAGCACTTCTTTTGGCTGCACTCAAGGAATCGGCGATAAACAAAGAGAGGAATTCACACCTCTTAAGGCAAGATAATAGATGTGTCAAACCTTCCACTAACAGGGCATTCTAACAGCCTAGTCTTGCAAACGAGATGAGACGGATGGACTACGAAGAGAAAGGGCACTAATCTCATGGGCAGAAGTTCCTTGCCTTGCCTTCCTTTTTACCCATGTGGATTCAAAACCGTCGCCTTCCCCAGCTTGTTCTCTGTCTGTGGTTACCCTATTCTGGCTAACAGCCTATTTGTACTAACAGGACCAGGACAGCTCCTTCTGGGCATATTCCTTCTACTATTGATGAAAACAACCTATTCTTGCCTTGCAGCTTATTCTTTCAAACAAACGATTCTATCCACTGTTAACCTAAGGACAGCATATACATTGGGTCATTCGGTCACTACCTCGATCATAATCATAGTTTGCTATCTTCCCGAAGATAGCAAGCGGAAGAACAATTAGGCGGTGTGTCACCCTCCTGAGCGGTATGGTATGAAGCCCGTAGACAATGGCTTTAGGGAGATGCTTTGATTTAAGACAAGACAGTGAACTAGCTGGCTTTAGAAAAAAAACCTTTCTTAGTAGATAACGACCTCGCACTTTCATTGATCTGATAGTGATTAAGGAGGAGTTGAACCTCCATAGCGTTGGAACTAGAGACCTACTAATCGTCACTTTTCCACCCCTTTCTTTGAACCTTGTCAATGATCGAACTTAAAGATATGAACTGAGTGCCATTTGATGAGTAACTGAGAACAAGGGAGAGGGATATAGAAAGGATGAAGTAATGAAAGAAGAAGTCATTGCTAGTAGTAACGACTTGTTACGATCCATTGGTTCATATAGAATCCATGTCCTAGGTGTATCAAAAAACATTCTTTTCGCTAAGCGTATATAATAAAATAGAGTGAAAGAGTCCACCCTGAAACCAAGGGGGTACTAACTAACAGCTGAGTCCTCTCCGAACCGCAGGAGATAGTTGCCCATCATACGGCTCACCAACTTCACTTGCCTCTATGGGAGGCTCGCTCCGGGCAAGTTCGGATCACTTACAATACACAGCTCTACGAAGGAAGGGGTTGGGTTAGGAACGTTTTCAATATGATTTTTTTCCTGTTCTATGAGAAATGCGAGACGAAAAAGGTAACGTAGTGACTTTCTTATTCCCGTGTTCGATCTCTTCCATCTCTGCCTCGCTCCTTTTCACCTATGTTGAAGAAAGGTTTGGAACCCTGTAGAGAATGAAGAGGGGCTGCCGAGCAGCCTCTCAACAGTGCTTCTCGAGGCTCCACTCTCCCCCTGAATAAGTAAGGCCTCCTTAGCCTGGGCGAAGATGGGGATAAGGAATAAGGATTGAAGCCCCTTAGCTCTGCCAGGCACTGGACAAGGGTTAGCTCTGTAAATGTGTAGAGCCAAGTGTAGTGTGGTGTAGTAGTAGGCACTTCTAGGCCCCTTCCCGGCTACTGGATCACTCCAGTGCTTTGGGTACTACGGACCCTCTGCCATCCATTGCAGCAGAGCTGTTTCATGAGCGGGGGGCTAAGCGCAGTTCTTTGAATCAAACGTTGTTGAATGAAATCGATTCTTTTTTAGATATCAAAATCGAAATCGGATAGGATAGATGGATGGATCTATCTTTCTATTCATATATATTACTAAAATAAAATTTTATTTATATAATTAAGTAGCGTAGCAAGAAGCCCCAAATCCTTGATTTGACCAGGAAAGACTGCACTGCTTTGGGCCCAGGAAGCGAAGGGAATGAGCTCGGCTGCTTCTCCTCCACACTTCTTTTTCTCCGTGCCCGTTCCGCATGCGCTTCGCGCGCCATTGGCGCTTTGTTCTCCTCTTATTCTTCATTGGACGGTTCAGATGGACTTCGCCGTTCTTTCCCAACTAAAATATAAAAAAAGGTATTGTCAAATCGAGATGTCGATTCGTTTTCCGCCCCCAATGAGATGGGGAATTTTGAACCCCCTATTTATACTTTTGGGCCCTTCACCTTTCTGAATCGAGGCCCGGCTCGCGTCGTTCCAACAACCGGCGGGGAGCACCTCAGTATACGATCGCGCGCAGTAACTGGGAGTCCTATTACACCTAAGGCCAACTTCAATTCACCAAACCAAGGTTCATCTCGTGTAGTGATTGTGGACTCGTACAAGGATATTGAGTAGACGGTTGATGTATCAGACTCGACCCTATCTTTCGTAGCATGCATTCCCATCCGTGTCGCAACTGATTCGGTAAGCTACGTGTCCGGTGCACGGAGAACTGCCTTCGGTCCCCCAAACTGACTTACTCGTGGCAACCTTCCGGCCGCCCAACGACCTATAACGCTAGTCACTACTCCCACTGGGGCTAGGAAGTAAGC